GACATGAAGAAGAGAGGTCAAGAACGAGCCTTAAATGCAGTTCTTCGCTTGGGAGAAATGATGAATTGCGAATGCTCGGCATGTAAAAAGGAAAGCGCTGCAACAGGTTAAAAAATCAAAAATCGCTGTTCGCGATTACGTTGGGGACTGCAATTGCATGTGTCACGACTGGAAAAGAACCTTCTTCTCTGGTGGATGCTACCTTGACGGCTTCCATTGGAAAAGACATAAGTGTAACACGGCCCGTTTCCCGAAAATGAAATCTACTTGCAAGTCTCAAACAGCCGAACAGTTCGGGGCCAAGTTGAACAAAATGCGATTTCTATACACCATGCGAAGACCTCACTACAGATTTCTTCTTCGGCAGTTCTGCGCATGGCGCGACCGCTTCTCTCGATCCGATAAACGCAGGAAGGATTACACGCCGGCAGTAAGCACAAAGCGGACTCGCACAGGCAAGTGAACATCCTAGGCACTATCCCCATTCATTGAGGGAACCGCTTGTTCTCAAAAGAAAGCTTTTCGCTTTCAAGTTGGGCGCAGCGCGCGCAACGAGACTGTTCGTCTTCGCGATGACAGAGGCGCAACCTATGATATTTTCGGTTGCTCAAGCAGCGCAAAAATATAAGTAACCATGCTCATTATCATCATTCATACACAGTACCATCGCTATATACATTATCATAGGAAAGGAAGAAGGAAGGGAATGAGAGTGGGGATGGAAACGGAGAGAGGAGGAGGGAGGCGATTATGGCCATAGCCTTTGTCTTGTATTGTTGCCACAACTCCCATTGATCCGTGGAAGTTATGGCCCAGGGTTCCTTCGCCGTTAGAGGTCCCCATCACTTCGGTACATGGAAGAACTGCGCCGTATAATCCGCAGTGCGGGCTCCTGGCCCGCACGCTGAAAGATGCCGGAACTGGCATAATTTCGGCGACGCTCTTTGGAAATACTTGGAATCTGCACGCGGATTGAAAGTCAACAAGAGGCTGCATGACGCCAAGAAAGAAGGTGATGGCGTGGTGGCGTTGTGGGAAAAAAAAGAATTCCCTCCATCTGCAGCTTTGCTAGAGATGGAATTAAACAAAAAAAGAAAGACTGTTCTGCCGTCGCTTCTTCCTCACGTGGTCAACAACCAGTCGTCTACGTGCCTGTGCCATGCAATAGTTGGCATCATCAATATTCTGGGCATGGCTTTGGGTACAATCAACACGCATATAGAAGGGCATGGGCTGGCGTAGAAAGAACGACCATTAAAACTGCTTGTTCGTCTTCGTCGTCTTTAGATGACGACAGCGACGTCATTTGTTTCGGCGAGCATGACCCCAAATCAAATAAGAAGCCTCTGGAAGACCCGACCGTTGTAGAAGCAAAGAAAACAGCGAAACCGAAATCTTTGGCATTGAGTACCAGGAAGCGGCGGTGGCACGAGGAAGAAGATGGCGATGATCTCAGTATCAAGGACTATCCCAAAACAGTTATCCCGCCCCCTCAACCGAAAGGGCGCCCGGGTTCGTTGTCAGATGATATCAAGGAAATCTGGATAATTGTTGGGGACGACGCATTAGATAGCAATTTCAATGAAATATTGTGCGCGCGAACAATGAGAGAGGATGGAAACAGTTATCTGCTCGACTTCCAATTTAAAACATTCTTCTTCATACGTCAAATGCCATTCCAGTTATTTTGCACACGCAGTAGACGGCGGTTTGTTGCCGCCGCAGCGAACAGGAAGCTGAATATCAACATTAGGGATAATTTCAACTTACATTGCGGTATCCGCAAAACGTCATTGCATAGATGGCCCACGCGCACATACGCAGATGCGCACCTTGGCCGGGTGGATAACCTAAACTCGGTAATGCGAGCTTTTACTGTTGATGGCCGATCAACTGCTCAGATTGGTGGAACACCTTCTAAGCGATTCAGACATGAGTTCAAGACTTGTGCTATTATTGGTTCGAACGGTGTCTCCGGGTGCATAGATATGCCAACTTGCAAGAACAGACGTTGCTATACGAAACGTGCCGCCCTGACAGATTCAAGTTTGGTTGAAGAGCTGTGGTACGTGCAGAGATGGAAGGAAGAGTGGGCGGCGAATGGAATTCTTCTTGATGAGGTCCAATGCGTAGAAATTCAATGTTGGACAAGGATACTGCTGTTTCTGAAATATCTCAAAACACTTTGGTTGTTCTCTTCACCCCAGATGGGGACCGGCTAGAATAATGGAGTTCGGCACGAACCAGCACTGAGTCACAAGATGGCTGCTCGCCATCACGTGTTGTCTCTCCTGCATTTCCTCCACGTTCTCGTCCTAAGCTGGCTGCGCGCTAGCATTCCCAAGGTAGCTGCTAGCTACCACGCTTGTTCGCAGAAGCAACACGAGAAAATAGCATACTATTCCTTTTGATCATGAAGATTTCCGCGCTTTGCGCTCTCCTCCGCCGTCCCCGCGGTGCTCATAGGATCTGTGGTAGATGCAAGTAGTGCGGTGCTTATAAGATGATTGTGGCCGCAGGGGATGGTAAGGGAAAGAGCAGGGCCCCCGAGAGCCCTGAAGCATTGAGATTCCGATATTTTAAAAAGATTTTCTCTTCATCGGCGTCGTCGTCGCCGCCGCCGTCGTCCTCGTCGTCGTCGGCGCGCTCTGGCGCTGAAAATGGGTCCAAACGCGCCTGTTTGCCGAGGCGCGTCCGCCCGTGGCGACGAGGAGGGCCCCCGAGGGCCCTGAAGCATTGAGATCCCGATAATGTTTAAAGGATTTTCTCTTCGTCGGCGTCGTCGTCGCCGCCGTCGTCCTCCTCGTCGTCGTCGGCGTGCTCCGGCGCTGGAATCCTTGTGTAATTAATAGAGATGCAGGAAACATTGTGTTTTCACTGTTGTTTAGAGAACTTCTTTAAACAAACATTAGTTTCGTATGTGCCTGCGCAGAGACTCACAGATTTTTAATTTAAAAAATATGGTTTCTTCATGGCCAGGCACAGAGATCACAGGGATTTTAATGATTTTCCAACTATGGGTAAACAGCACCCATAATTGGAAAATCATGAAAATCTATGTAATCTCTGTGCCTGGCCGTGAAAGCTGTAAATGTTTTGTATTCAAAATCTCTGAATCTCTGTGCAGGCACATACGAAACTAATGTTTTGATCAAAAATATTATCAACAAAACTATGAAAACACAATGTTTTAAGCACCTCTATCAGTTACAAAAGGAATCCCTTTGTGGCGGAATGCAAAAGGATTCCCTATGTGGCAGAATACAACAGGATTCCTTTTGTGTCAGAATACAAAAGAATTCCCTTTGTGGCGGAATACAAATGGATTCCCTATGTGGCAGAATACATCAGGATCTCTTTTGTGGCGGAATACACAAGAATTCCCTTTATGGCGGAATACAAAGGGATTCCCTTTGTGGCGGAATACAATGGGATTCGCACAGTCTTGCCTTTGCCTAATAAATGCATTGGGAGGGTGCCAACTGAACCGCAGGGTTCCGCTGGCACCCCCTATGTTATCCTCCTCCTCCTCCTCGACTCCTCCTCCTCCTCCTCCTCCTCCTCCTCCTCCTCCTCCTCCTTCTCCTGCTCCTCCTGTTGCTCCTCCTCCTCCTCCTCCTTCTCCTCCTCCTTGTGCTCCTCCATCACCTCCCTCCTCCTCCTCTTCCTCCTCCTCCTCCTCCGCCTCCTCCACCTCTCCTGCTCCTCCTCCTCCTCCTCCTCCTCCTCCGCCTCCTCCTCCGCCTCTTCCTCCTCCTCCTCCTCCTCCCCCTCCTCCTCCAGGAGAACACCTGGACCCAGACCCCCTCGAGTCACGACAAAATCACGACGGACGCTCTTTCTGTATTTTCGGAAAAACGACTCCCGACGAGAAACCGGTCCTGTGGAATGGGTCGAGACCTCTAAGGGTCGACGTTCTGAAAAAGTCATGACGTCGGGGGTCTGGGCATCCAGCCCCCATCGACGATGAATGGGCGAACGGGGGTCGATGCATCCCCCCCTAACCTAGGACCTAGCCCCGTCTCTGGGCCGCATCTCAAGCTTCCAGCGGCCATTCGGGACGATCCCCGCACCCCCAGGAACACTCTCGGCGAGGCGCAGCTGCTGGAAAGCATCTCGAGGCTGGAACACCGCCGAGATCCGACCGAGACCTTGAAACGAGAAAGGCCCGAAGACCCCTTCTGAGCCTATCCCCCCCCAGCCCAGACCCCCGACGCCACGACTTTTTCAGAAGGTCGACCCCCCAGAGGTCTCGACCCCGTCCCAAGGACTGGTTTCGAGCTGTTGACGGCCCCGAGGGACAGTAAAGGGCCCCCAGAGGCCGGAAATAGCGAAAAACCTCTCGTCGTGATGTTTATTATGCCTCGAGGGGGGTCTGGGAAAGTTGCCCCTATGCTAGAGGCCTCCTAGATGGGGTCGGAGTAGATGGGGTCGGAGGATCGCGACGCATCGCCGATACATCGGCGATGTATCGGCGATGCACGGGCGATGCATCGGCGAAGTCGGCGATGTATCGGCGACGTCGACGTGAAGCAAGTTGGGCTCCACATCGAGCCGCATCGGCGATCCATCGGTGATGCGGCGCGATCCTCCGACCCCACCTACTCGGACCCCATCTGGAGAGGCCTAGCTGGAGTAGTTGTTTCAAGTTGTGGAGGGAGAATGGGAGGAGGAGGAGGAGGAGGAGGAGGAGGAGGAGGAGGAGGAGGAGGAGGAGGAGGAGGAGGAGGAGGAGGAGAGGAGGAGGGAGGAGGAGGAGGAAGAAGAGGAGGAGGAGGAGGAGGAGGCGGGAGGAGGGAAGGGGAGGAGGGGAGGAGGGAGGAGGAGGAGGAGGAGGAGGAGGAGGAGAGGAGGAGGAGGAGGAGGAGGAGGAGGAGCGGAAGGGAGGAGGAGGAGGAGGAGGAGAGAGGTGGAGGAGGAGGAGAGGAGGAGGAGGAGGAGGAGGAGGAGGAGGAGGAGGAGGAGGAGGAGGAGGAGGAGGAGGAGGAGGAGATAAGCTCCTCCCGCAGCTTCACGCGCAGGGGCCTGTCCGCCTCGGCCAGGACCGGCGACCCCGCCATCGCCTGGCAGTGCGCCACGAGCCTGCAGCACTTTGCGAACTCCTCGAAGCCCAGGTCGGCCTTGTTGCCCGGGTTGGCCACCGCCCAGACCTGACACTGGGAGCTCGTCGGCAAGGTAGAGAATCGAACTCTATACACCGACGCTTCTTCGGGCCCTGCATTGGAATTTGCACTGGAGAGCGGATCCTGGTGTGTACGGGACCCTGGTGTATACATTTTCGTGGTTTCCTCGAAACATAGGGGAAAGAAGTATACACCACACCACCCCAGCGTCGTCCTCGACCCTCAAGAAGTCCTGGGATTGAAAACCAGCCCGCCACTGGTAATGTATAGGCTCCAGTTTCCGACAAGGGGCCTTCCACAATAAGCCCAGCCCTGAGACCCCAGGACGTTCACTGATTTGTTGGTGCGGAAACCTCGCGCTTCCCGTGGGCAAGACCATCGAAGCCCAAGAGACCCAGAGCACCCTGAGGGCAAGCAGGGTGTTTCTTGGCATGGGCCCCCATTGTATGGCGATTGGCGGAGAAGCAGGAGAAGAAGGACGCCCGGGCGGCAGAAGCCCCCTCAGAGCTTCACGCTTCGACGCAGGGCTTCGAAGGTCCGCGCAAATTCCATGGACCGGCGCTGGACCGCCCCTCCATGGCCCGCCCCACGCGCCAGGGGCGGCGCCAGAGGCGCCACCGGGGGTGTCCAGCGCAGACCCAAGAAATCCGCACGGACCTTCGGAAGTTCACATCTGGTGGAAGTGGGTCCGTACCCCTCAGCCGTTAACGAGGAGGACAAGGAGGAGGAGCAGGAGCAGGAGGAGGAGGAGGAGGAGGAGGAGAAGGAGCAGGAGGAGGAGGACGAGGAGGAGGAGCAGCAGCAGCAGCAGGAGGAGGAGCAGGAGGAGAAAGAGGAGGAGGAAGAGCAGGATGAGGAGGAGGAGGAAGAGGAGGAGGAGGAAGAGGAGGAGGAAGAGGAGGAGGAGGAAGAGGAGGAGGAGGAGGTGGAGGAGGAGGGAGGAGGAGGAGCAGGAGGAGCGGCAGGAGGAGCAGGAGGAGGAGGACGAGGAGGAGGAGCAGGAGGAGAAGGGGCGAGCCCATTTCCTGGTGAAGAGGAACAGGTGAGAGCTCTCAAAGCGAACGACCTCCTGAGGTTACTCGCGGCCCAGGAACCTGGGGAGCTGCGCCACTGCGGGGCCGAGGGCGGCGAGCAAAAATTCCAGGACCCTTTCGCTACTTCAGCTGACCACGCCTCGAAGATGGGGCGCCAAGCCCTCCCCCAACACACACACACACATACACACACAACACACAACACACACACACAAACAAACAAACAAACAAACAAACAAACAAACAACCAAACAAACAAACAAACAAACAAACAAGCAGACAAACAAACAAACACACACACACACACACACACACAAACAACCAACCAACCAACCAACCAAACAAACAAACAAACACACGACTACACAAACAAACAAACACAAACAAACGAACAAGCAACCAACCAATCAACCAACCAAACAACTTACGCGACCGATGAACCTCACAGACTTCGTGTTACCTCCTGCCTTAGCATAGCTGACGCGCAACAGACCAGGATGATGTCAGGTGGTCAAGAAAGTGCCACGCCTGCTGTGCCGTGGACGACCAGGGCGGATAGCGCTCCCACTCCCTGCGCACCCCCATGTGGCGCCGAGGAAATGCCACGCTTGCTATGCCCTGCGAGCCTGCAACGCATACCGCCCCCCCCCCCAGCGAACCCGCATGTGGCGTCGAGGAAATGCAACGCCATGCGAGCCTGCAACGCACAGTGTCCCGACCCCCAGCGCACCCCCAAGTGACATCGAGGAAGTGCCACGCCTGCCATGCCCTGCGAGCCTGCAACGCATAATGGCCGCGGTGAGAGACCGCCTCCTGCGCACCCTCTCTGGTGTCGAGAAGGTACCACGCCTGTCACGCCTCCAGGCCCTGGCACGCATAGGGGCCGCGGTGAGAGACCACCACCTGCGCCCCATCTGTGGTGTCGAGAAAGTGCCACGCCTGTCACGCTCTCCGACCCTGGCACGCATAGAGGCCGCGGTGAGAGACCACCCCCTGCGCACCCTCTGGCGTCGAGAAAATCAAACGCCTGCCACGCTCTCCGACCCTGGCACGCATAGAGGCCGCGGTGAGAGACCACCCCCTGCGCGCCATCTCTGGTGCCGAGAAAGTGCCACGCCTGCCACGCCCTCCGACCCTGGCACGCATAGCGGTCGCGGTGAGAGACCACCACCTGCGCGCCCTCTTCGGTGTCGATGGAGTGTCACGCTTGCCACGCTCTCCGACCCTGGCACGCAAAGAGGCCGCGCTGGGAAACCAGCCACTACGTACTGCCTCTGGTGCCGAGAAAGTACCACGCCTGCGAGGCTCTCCGGCCCTGGCACACATAGAGGCCGCGCTGAGAGACCACCCCCTGCGCACCATCTCTGGCGCCGAGAAACTGCAACGCCTGCCACGCCCTCCGACCCCAGCACGCATAGGGGCCGCGACGAGAGACCACCCCCTGAGCACCGGACCCCCCCCCTCCCATAGTGCCGAGAATGTGTCACGCCTGCCACGCTCTCCGACCCTGGCACGCATAGAGGCCGCGGTTAGGGACCACCACCTGCGCACCCCCTGTGGTGCCGATGGAGTGCCACGCCTGCCACGCTCCCAGACCCTGGCACGCATAGGGGTCGCGGTGAGAGAACGCCCCCTGCGCACCCCCTTCGGTGTCGATGGAGTGTCACGCTTGCCACGCTCTCCGACCCTGGCACGCATAGAGGCCGCGGTGAGAGACTACCCCCTGCGCATTTTCCCTGGTGTCGAGAAAGTGCAACGCCTGCCACGCGCCCCGACCCTGGCACGCATAGAGGCCGCGATGAGAGACCCCCCCCTGCGCACCCCCTGTGGCGTCGAGGAAATGCAACGCTTGCCATGCCCTGCGAGCCTGCAACGCATAGCGCCCCCACCCCCAGCGCACACCCATGTGGCGTCGAGGAAATGCAACGCCATGCGAGCCTGCAACGCACACTGTCCCCTCCCCACCCCCAGCGAGCCCCTGTGTGGCGTCGAGGAAACGCCACGCCTGCCATGCCCTGCGAGCCTGCAACGCATAATGGCCGCGGTGAGAGACCGCCCCCTGCGCACCCCCTCTGGTGTCGAGAAAATACCACGCCTGTCACGCCCCCAGGCCCTGGCACGCATAGGGGCCGAGGTGAGAGACCACCACCTGCGCGCCATCTGTGGTGTCGAGAAAGTGCCACGCCTGCCACGCCCTCCGACCCTGGCACGCATAGAGGCCGCGGTGAGAGAGCACCCCCTGCGTACCGTCTCTGGCGTCGAGAAAATCCAACGCCTGCCACGCTCTCCGACCCTGGCACGTATAGAGGCCGCGCTGGGGACCACCCCCTGCGCATATCCTCTGGTGCCGAGAAAGTGCTACGCCTGCGACGCTCTCTGACCCCGGCACGCATAGAGGCCGCGGTGAGAGACCACGACCTGCGCGCCATCTCTGGTGTCAAGAAAGTGCCACGCCTGTCACGCTCCCCGACCCTGGCACGCATGGGGGGGGCCGCGGTGAGGGACCACCACCTGCGCACCCTCTCTGGTGTCGAGAGAGTGCCACGCCTGCGACGCTCTCCGACGCTGGTACGCATAGGGGCCGCGGTGAGAGACCACCCTCTGCGCACCCCGTCTGGTGTGGAAAAAGTGCCACGCCTGCCATGCTCTTCGACCCTGGCACGCATAGAGTCCGCGCTGAGAGACCGCCCCCTGCGCACCGTCTCCGGTGCCGAGAAAGTGCCACGCCTGCCGATCGCCCCGACCCTGGCACGTATAGAGGCCGCGACGAGAGACCACCCCCTGAGCACCCTCTCGGGTGTTGAGAAACTGCAGCGCCTTCCACGATCTCAGACCCTGGCACAGGAGGCCGCGCTGAGAGACCACCACCTGCGCACCATCTCTGCTGTCGAGGAAGTGTCGCGCCTGCCACGCTTTGCGAGCCCGTAATGGATAAAAAGACCGCCCCCAATACAACCCCCCTGTGGTGCTCATGATGCGGCTGTATGTGGACGTGTGTCTCATATGGGTGCCCAGTATGTGTCCTGTGAATGGTGCGTGTGCGGCTATATCTGGACGTGTGTCTCATGTGGGTGCCCAGCATGTGGTGCACACGTCGTGGGGGTATGATGCAATGAACACGCAAGGTGTGCACTGTCGTTGTATGGTGTGTGTGGGGTGGGGGGGAGGGGGGGGGGGGGTGGGGGGGGGTGTGGGTGTGGGTGTGGTGTGGGTGGGGTGGGGTGTGTGGGTGTGTGGGTGTGTGGGTGTGTGGGTGTGTGGGTGTGTGTGTGTGTGTTGTGTGTATGTGTGTATGTGTGTATGTGTGTATGTGTGTATGTGTGTATGTGTATGTGTGTATGTGCGTATGTGTGTGTTGTGTGTTGTGTGTGTGTGTTGTGTGTTGTGTTGTGTGTGTTGTGTGTTGTGTGTTGTGTGTGTTGTGCGTGTGCGTGTGCGTGTGCGTGTGCGTGTGCGTGTGCGTGTGCGTGTGAACGTGTGAATGTGTGAATGTGTGAATGTGTGAATATGTGAATATGTGAATGTGTGAATGTGTGAATGTGTGAATGTGTGAATGTGTGAATGTGTGCGTGTGTGAATGTGTGTGTCTGCGATTTGTGTGCATGCGTGCGGCTGCACACAAATCGCAGGGTGAGGAGGACGTGCCGTGCATGTGCCGCTCGTGGGTGAGGAAGGAGGAGGAGGAGGAGGAGGAGGAGGAGGAGGAGGAGGAGGAGGGGGGGAGGAGGGCGAGCGTGTGAGACGCGGGTGCGGCGCGGGTGGGAAGAAAACTAGAACCCCACGAAACATGTGGGGAAGAAAGAAAGAAATTAAGAAACAAACAAACAAACAAAGAAGCAAAGAAACCGAAAACGGCGTGCGCGCGAGGCCGTCGCCGCATCGAGGCTGCTTCCCAGGCGTGCCCGACGATGTCGGGCGCGGACCTGCCCCAGCGCGCGGCTGGTCAGCCCAGACTTGCGCAGCGCCTCCACGACGGCGGCGGTGGGCTTTGCGTCGGGCGCCCCGGCCAAGCTGTCGAAGAGCCTCCTGTTGGCGGCGCGCAGAGGGGGGTAGGGGAGGGGGGAAGTCTTCTTAGAAGCACCCCTGCTTCTTAGAAGGCGCGGGCCTTTGTCTGTAGATGCAAGGCCAGCGCCTTCTAAGAAGCAGCCTCCTTCTAAGATACCTCCCCTCCTCCCCCATACCCTTCGCTCGGGCGTGTCCCCCCAACAGGGGGATTCTGGGCGAAGAAAAAACAAACCCCAAAAATATCCCCAAGTGCTCAAACATACGCAAAACATCGTCCCCCGACTATGTTTTGTCTTGGTTTGAATCATCCTCCTGTAGAAGGACAGGCCCGACTTAAGCCTTGTCTGTAGATGTAATTAAGGCCAGCGCCTTCTAAGAAGAAGCCGCCTCCTTCTAAGAAGCCTTCCCTCCGCCCCTACTCCGAGTTTCTTCATACGCGTCGGGGGGGCGTCATCCCCGCCGACATCCCCACACCGACCCCCGTCGCGGGTGGCCACCGCGCGCCGAAGGCGCCCCGACCCCCGTCGCGGCGCGACAACGAGGCGGGTTGACCCCCGTCGGGGGGGCACCCCCCACGTTTATAAAGAAACCCAGATTGCCCCCCAGTCCTGTAGGACCCCTCCTCGTCCCCCTCCTCGTCCCCCTCCCCCTCCTCCTCCTCCTCCTCCTCCTCCTCCTCCTCCTCCTCCTCCTCCTCCTCCTCCTCCTCCTCCTCCTCGTCCTCCTCCTCCGCCTCCTCCTCCTCCCCCGCCCCTGCGCGAGCCGTTGGAGGGCTGGGCTTTCGACCCGCTGAGCGCCGCCAGTCCTGTAGGCCGCCTCCTCGTCGGGAGGCCAGGCTGGCCCCCCCTCGGCGGGCCGGAGGTCCTTGTGCGTCGCGGGCAGCTCCTTCTTCGCCGCGCTGCCGCCTGTTTGATGGGACTGTTTCGTTTGCTCCGCCACCGCTGCCCATGGTGGGAGTGGGAGGAGGAGGAGGAGGAGGAGGAGGAGGAGGAGAAGGAGGAGGACGAGGACGAGGAGGAGGAGGAGGAGGAGGAGGAGGAGGAGGAGGAGGAGGAGGAAGAAGACCTCCTCATCCTCCCTTCTCCCCCGTCCTACGTATGGTAGTGGTGGTGGAGAATTTGCCCATCACGCCTGGCAGGGTGAACTCGGCAGTCACCGTGCCCCCCTCCACCTTTCGAGGGGCTGCCAAGGGTGCCCCCGACCCAAGGCGGCTTCGGAGCCCCTGGGGCCGCCTGGGCTGGAGGCCTCCCCGGAAAACTCCTGCGGACACACACGCCTTGGGCCCCACGGGCGCTTCCAGCAACCCCTCCCGAGAGCCTTCTCGACGACCCCCCTGCCCCACTTCCGCTGCGAGTTGCTCCACACCTCCACGGCCTCGCCCACGCTGTAGACGTGGGGCCCGCCCAGGCTCGCGGGCCTCTCCCAGGTCGACTCCCGCGTCTTGGCGTTGAAGTAGTACGTGTGGCCCTCGGGCGTCCTTGCCGCCTTCCACTCGTGGCCCTTCACCGGCGACGACGGCCTCGCCGCCTCCCCCGCCGTCGCGTCCGCGGCCCAGCGGATGCTCTTCATCTTGTCCGCCACCCCCTTGACCTTGTCGGACACCTCCCCACCGGATGCCTTCCTCCTGCCGTCGTCGCTGATCAGCTTCATCAGCGCCTCGCTCTGGAGCCCCAGGGCGGCCTGGGCGTCGGCGGTAAGGCCGCGCAGGCTCTCCTGCAGGATGACGTTGCCCTCCAGGACGGAGGCCCAGCTGGGGCTGGCCATGATAGGGTTCATGACCTCTCGGCTACAGTAACTAGGGGCCCGACCACAAAAAACGTTCCACAAGAAACCCGACCCTGAGACCCCAGGACGTACAGTTCTTTTTGTGTGTGAACGTCACGCTCCCCATCGCAGAACCATCGAAACCCAAGAAACCCAGGGGCACCCTGGAGGCAAGCAGGGGGGTTTCATGGCATGGGTCTCCATTGCAGGCAAGAGTGACCTCTGGTGCGCGGATGAAGGGGGTGCGGGGTGGCCAAAACCAAGCGCACCAGCAGCCGCCATCCGCACCGCACTCGGCGATCGGGGGCACCCGTGTGAGCCCGCACCTCACCAGCGGCCCCTCCGGCGAAGGGTCCCGCTCGCGTGGAGCCGAACCTCGGCCACGAGGTGGATGCTGGCCGGCTCCCTCCGGGCAAAGGCCAGCAGGAAGCCGAACACCTCGGGCGCGTGCTTGCTCTCCTGCCGGAAGTTGGCCTCGTGGCCCGCGCACTGGATGCAGCCTATGCGGAGCCGGTTGAGCGTCGCGACGCTGCCGTCGGTGCGCCCGGCCAGGGCGATCACCGCGTCGATGCCGTCCTGGAGAGCCGACAGCTCCGACGCTTCCCCTCCACCGCCGTCGTTGCCGAACGCCTCGTTGGTGGGCCCCGCCTCCTTCCTAATCTCGTCGACGAGGCGGTCCCTCTCCATGGCTCTGCCTATTTCCTCGGGCCGGTCCATCGCCGACACCTGGTTAATGGACGCCATAGCCATGGGCGAGATCGACTTCATGATCACGGGGCTCTGGACCGCCAGGGCGGCCTGAAGGTCCGCGTGGAGAGCCTTGAACTTGTCCCCGAGGGGTCCCGACTGCGCCTCCCACACGGCCACCCACGAGGGCACCTGCATGAGCTTGTTGAACACCTGCAGAATCTTGCTCTTGTATATCTTCTTGCAGCCGGCGAAGCCGATCAGGAAGTGCCACATCGCCTCCGCGTGCTCCACCTGCTCGGCTATCTCCTCTGGCGACGCCTTGAGGACCTTCTTGTTGAATGCGGTGAACTCCTCGTTGCCGGACATGAACTTCTCCTCGGGGGGCCACCAACCCGACGATTTGCGTTTCCGCTGCGCACCTTTGCCGAACGAATGCTTGCCAGCGCGAACTCTCAACGGTGGGTTACGGCACCGTCGATGTGCACGCTCATGTGGTGCAAACTTTGGGTTGCAATCTACGCGGCGCAATGGATTTCGAAGAACTTGGTGTCGTCAAGAACACCGTTCGTGCACGCATCCCGCCCTCCCAACTGCGACTCGATGGCCAAAATCACACTGGCCGTGGGTGCAGCTGCCCAAACCAGTGCACTGGGCGGCCACGACGCGGCCTGGAGGCGTGCACTGAGCGAACATCTGGAAAACGAGGCCAGCGCACGGGGCGGCCTCGAGACGCGGGGCTTCGCAAACGGGGGCTTAGCGGAACGGGGGCTGAGGCTTCTCCACATACCCCCGGCTTACTGTACCCCCGCCTGCGGCGCCCAGGGCCCCCCAAACGGGGGCATAGCCAGACGCGGAGATCGGTGTGCCCCCGTGCCCCCGCTCGCTGTGCCCCCGCGTCTGACCGGGGGAGAGGCGGAGCACACCAGGCTGGCGCATGGGGGCGGGGTCACTGCACTGGGCGGCCACGGGCGGGCGGCGACGGGATCAAGGATGAGGAGGAGCTCTGTGTGCAAACACCGTTCGGGAAGCGGTACGGGGTGCTCTTCCAAGCAGCGTGTCGGCGGACCCCTGACGCGGTCCCCGAACTGCCCCCGGGACGATCGGGAACAGAGCGAACACGGGATCACAACGAAGACTGCCCGCGAGTCTGCCCCGCACAGCGCTGGGGTCGATCCCCGCATCTCCTTCTTGACGATCTCCTCCACGTTCGTCCAGTTGGGCCACTCGTCCGCCATGGCCCGTGGTGCGGGGCGCGGGGCCAGCGCGCTCCACGGCCAACCGAGCGCGAAGTGCGCGAGGGGGTGTCCGCTCGGCGCGGCCTGAGCTGAAGCGGCCACTGTGGGAGGACGGAGAGGAGGGGCCAGCGTTAGGTCGGGCATGTCCCACTACAGGCGGATTTTGGTGGCCAAAATTCAAGATAGTCCAACCAAAACATCTCTAAGATTAAAGATTAATCCAAAATCGCCCCCAGACTAGTTTCGAACCACGGCCAACCCGATGAATTAAAAGCACGCTTCGTCCAAATCCCTTCGTCTGCGAAAGCCCGATACGGGGACGACACGGATGGGGACGACGCCAGATATCAAATGCTATCCGAAACCGACAGCGGCCGCCGTGAAGCCGCGTCGAATCGACCACGCCCGCCGCGGGGCCGACCACGAGACAAGCTTGAAAAAACTGGGGTCGCTGTCATCTCGATTGGCCCGCGGCTCACCCTAAAACCACAGCACAGCACGAAAGCATCAGCGCTCGGAGGCCCGCGCGGATTTCCTGGGTCGGCGCTGGACGCACGGGGGCAGTGCCGGAAGCGGCGCCCAGAGCTGCGGGGAAGGGAACTCAGCGCCGACCCCGGACCCCCGACGTCATGATTTCTTCATGACGCGACCCCCAGAGGTCTCGACCCATTCCCCAGGACCCGTTCCCCGTCCGAAGTCGTTGTTTGACAGTCCCAGGGGCCGGTCAGGGCCCCCAGAGTCCGAAAACAGCGAAAACCTCCCGTCGTGATTTTTTCATGGACTCGAGGGGGTCTGGGACCCAAGAATCTGCGCGGGCCTCCAAAAATTTTTGATGCACACGCTGGTCGCTGTCCTTGTGACTCTTCCCGGCGACTGGCACGTCGGATGCGGGGGCGGAAACATGCGTGGCGACGCCCCACGATTACGCCGGGCCTGTTCCTCTACAGGGGGAATTTTCAAAAGCAGGTAGGACATAGTATGGGGACGATTTTTGGACCAGTTTTGAACAGTTGTTGGGCATTTTGGGGGGTAGTTTCAATCTTTCGCCCAAAATCCGCCTGTAGGGGGGCACGCCCGACTTGAACCCAACAGGGAGCACTCAGATCCTGGCGTTGCACTTTTTCACAACGGGCGTCGGGCCCCAGGACATTCACACATCTTGATCCGCCTCGGCGAATGACGCAGGAAGATGGGGTTCGGGGCTGTGGTCGTGATTGTTTGCGATGCTGTGTTTTGTTGCAACGTCGGATCTCAGGGATCAACCGTCCAAAACCGACACCGGCCGGCCGCTGTTGGGCAGGCGGCCTCTTGCCCCGAGTGGACACCGCCCGCGGTGACGACGACAGCGAGAGACGAGACGAGAGACGAGACGAGAGACGAGACGGGCGTGTCCGCCGGCAGGCGGGCCCCTTCGGAGCAGCGCGGGCGGGCCGGGGCCCGATCAGATGTGCGCGTGTGCAAGGTAGTCATTCTCCCACTTCTTCCAGAGTGCCCAGTCTCGAGTAACATCTAACCACGTCTCGGTGTTATCCCCAGTGGCAGCTCGCACCAATTGTGACATGCCGCCGCACCACCTCTTTCGCTGTCTTCCTTGTCTGCGTATCGCCGGCGACGAGAGCGAGACCTGCGCAAACAGCGGGCAGGGGCTGCTGTCGGCGCCTGCGTCCCCGCTCGCTCCGTCCCCCTTCCTGGGCACGTCCTCTTGCGGGCGGAACTCGGAGGAAAAATCGGGAGCAGACAAAACATGCCCAAACATATGCAAACATAGTCAAAACATCGTCCCCAGACTATTTGTTGCAAGTGGTGAGTCTATCCTACACTGGGAAACGGACGGGAGGGTGGCGGCACGGGTACTGCTCCTCCTCCGACACATGGCACGTGGAGCCGTGCTCCGAGCGGCGGGGCCTCCCTCGATCCTCGAGGAGGAGGAGGAGGAGGAGGAGGAGGAGGAGGAGGAGGAGGAGGAGGAGGAGGAGGAGGAGGAGAGAGGAGAGAGGAGGAGGAGGAGGAGGAGGAGGAGGAGGAGGAGGGGGAGGAGGAGGGGGAGGAGGAGGAGGAGGAGGAGGAGGAGGAGGAGGAGGAGGAGGAGGAGGAGGAGGAGGAGGAGGAGGAGGAGGAGGAGGAGGAGGAGGAGGAGGAGGAGGAGAGAGGAGAGAGGAGAGAGGAGGAGAGAGGAGAAAGGAGGAGAGAGGAGAGAGGAGGAGGAGGAGGAGGAGGAGAGAGGAGAGAGGAGAGAGGAGGAGGAGGAGGAGGAGGAGGAGGAGGAGGAGGAGACGGTACGTCCAGAGCGCTGCCCCAGGCCCGACGCAGCCCTTCCTCGGCCGCGCACCAGGCTGGGGGGCACCCCGGGCGATGATGAAGGGGAGCACCGGCCCCTCCTCGGAAGGCCGCGCGCGGGCCTGCAGCCGGGGTGGATTGGAGAGGACACAAGACTTAGGTCGGGCCTGTCCCCCATACAGGGGGCTTTTGGGCGAAAACTTAAAAATAGTCCAACACAAATACATCAAAAAACACAAATAGGCAGAACGTCGTCCCCAGACGATGCTTCTACTGTTTTTGACTATTCCGTCTGTAGAGGGACAGGCCCGATGTAACACAAGACTCAAGACGACAGTTCTGGCAATCCCATCGCGTTGCGGTTGAGCACTCTCGCAGGGTGCTGGATCGTCGCAGCCCTTTTTCCTCGTCGCTTCCCCTCCCCCCGCCGCCCCCCCTCCTCCCCACCTCAGTGTCGCCGTCCTGCAGCGCGCTGCGGCCAACGGGGCCGAGGCGCTGCGCAGGAAGCGGGCTCGTGACTCGTGCAGCAGCTGCTCGCAGCCGCGAAGTGGCCGCGCGCAGGCGTCTCCCAGCGGCCACATTGCCAGTGGAACGTAGAAGGCTTGGATCGCGAAACGCTGGACACAAGAGTAACCTTGTTTGGGCAGGGTTGACCTGCGAATCGAACTCGACCTTATTGGAAGCCCTCCCGCCCTCTGACGGAAGGTCCGTGCCCTGAGATCCTGGCACTGCAATGCTTTCACCACGGGCGGTGTCGCTCCACTTCGGGCCCCAGGACCCTCACAGATCGATCCGGCTCGAAGAATGACGCCGACGGATTGTCGCATGTGTTTTGCAACGGCGGATCTCAGGGTGGCCCTCTGGAGGAGGCTCAGCAGGCGGGAGGCCTCTGAGAAGGCCTTCCCCCCCCGCCCTTTTGACACGGGCAGCTCCCACGGCTCTCCCCTGCTGGGCGCGCCGCCGCATGCCAGCCCTCCCTCGAATCGGGCCCCGCTGGCTCCGGGGTGCTACAAGCCTGCTTCTCGACGATGCGCGATGGCGCCCGTGGCCGGGCCGGCCCCCCGCCCCTGGTCACGTCACGATTCGCGCCAACGCCGTGGGAATGGGCCATGCCTCAGCATCCCCGGACGGCGCCGGCGCGCATCGTGACGTGATCGCCCCCCCTCCCCCCCCCCCGCGACCACGCCCGCTATCGCCAGGGGGTGACCAATCGGGGGCGCGCAAACGTGGATTACCGATCCATGGATCTGGCGCGCGGTCGCCAAATCCATGCATCGGGGGAGGTGCCCTTCCCAGAATGCGGCCGGTGCCGCCCTGTTCGGCGGCGGAAATCCCCGATTTCCCATGGAAGCGGGACCCGTCGCTACTCTCCCCGCCCCCTTGATCCATGTTTGCGATCGCCTGGACCAAAGGTTTCTTCTAATCAGAATGTCGAGGTGGATCCAGCCGCGACGACGTGGGAAAGGCAACGGCATCGGTGTTGTACCTTTTCCTCCTGTCGAGGCCTCCTCCTCCTCCTCCTCCTCCTCCTCCTCCTCCTCCTCCTCCTCCTCCTCCGGTGGATCCAGCCGCGACAACGTGGGGAAGGCAGCGGCATCGGTGTTGTACCCTTTCCTCCTCTCGAAGCGGTGCGCGGTGGCGTCCCCGCCTCGAGGCTGGGGTTCTGCTGCAGCAGCCGCAACAGCACGCCCTCCGTCACCACCTGCCAGGGGTGGGAGGAGGAGGAAGAGGAGGAGGAGGAGGAGGAGGAGGAGGAGGAGGAGGAGGAGAAGGAGAAGGAGGAGGAGGAGGAGGAGGGGGAGAAGGAGGAGGAGGAGGAGGAGGAGGAGGAGGAGGAGGAGGAGGATGAGGAGGAGGAGGAGGAGGAGGAGGAGGAGGAGGAGGAAGAAAAGGAGGAGGAGGACGAGGAGGAGGAGGAACTTGAACTTGAACTAGCTCGAGGAAGCCAAGCAATCATCAATGACACCGCAGTCAACAAAAAGTTCGAGGCATCGCGACTGACTACCTATAGCTTCTGAGTTGGCTTCTGCAGAAACCCGCTGGAAATTGCGATTGAGAGAAGACGAGCTGCCCACTGCACAGCAGCACTGGCCAGGCTCACACCCGCGCAGGCACGCAGCCCGCCATGGGGTGAGCACTCACGGCGCAGGCTGCGCTCCGTCTCGGCCACGACCGCGACCCCGCCCGCGTCTCGGCGGGGGTCTCGGCGCAACGTGCACTAAGGGAACCTCGGGCATACCTGGATGGGAAAAAGTTTGGATTGTACCGCTGGCGGCCTGCGCGGCCTGAAACGGGGCGTCAGCACTCACCAGCCCACGCGCCACCAGCTGCTGGAACCGCTCCGAGCTCTGCATGATCAGCGCTTGGGCCCTGGCCCTACGATCTTCGAGAGGCCGCGCTCGCACGGGCCCCGCGGCGCTGGGCCTGGCAGGAACTCCCCCCCCCTCTATCTGGACCAAGCTCTCCAGGCAGCCCTGGATCTTCAGCCCGAGCGGGGTGTCCGCGTTGATCTTCCACATGGGCGTCGCCATCTGCCTGCCGCCCTCCTTCGGATTGTGGGGCTTGCCCCTGAAGTAGGCCACGGCCCGCGCGAGCTGCTTCCAGTTCGGGGACTTCTTGATCATCGTCTTGATCCTCTCGCCCTCCTTCTTGTCGTCGCCTTCGGCGATCGTGAAGTTCGCCCCGTGCCCTATGGCCGCCATCATGATGTGGACGCGGGGCGGGCCGCGGCCCTTGAAGTCCACCTGCTCCCCGTTCGCGGCCCGCCCCCTGAGGTCCTGGCTGTGCTCGTCGTAGCTCTTGCCCTCCACGACGCACGCCGTCGTCAGCCCCGCGTCGACCCCGATGGAGTACTTGATGGACGTCGCGGCCGAGATCTCCGCCGTCTCGCGGACGTCGGACAAGAGGAGCCTGGCCGTCATGTCCTGCGCCTTGCCGCCCACCTCCTTGTCCCCCCCGCGCCTGGCCTGTCGCTGGCGCCCCCCTTGCCGCCGCCGCCCGCTGCCCACCTGCGCCCGCCGATGCCGACCCCCCTGCCGCCGCGCCTGGGCGCTTCACGCCCTTGTTGAACCAGCCAGGCACCTCGGCGTCGCCCACCCCGTCGAACACGATCCTCCCGAGCGACGAATGGGCGGAGCTGCAGCGGCAGATGCGTGCCCAAGTGATCGTGCAAGTCTGCAAGAGTTGAGCCTAAATAGTTACAGATCGGGCACGCTAGGGAGCTCGGAGGCTCAGCGGTTATCTTCATTGTCGCGGGGCCAGCTGTGTAGCAGTGACCGCGGGCCAGTGAGCCTCGGAGATGTTGGGCTGACGTGGACTGACAGCCGACGACTTGTCGGCAATGTATACAGGCGCTCGTGGGCGTTATCACATGGCACAGGTCCCGAATGCGGTCTGCCTGCCTGTAGTGATTCATCGGGTCGCGACGATGGGTAAAGGCTGCCGCGCAGGTCTCGCCCGTCTCAACAGGTCCAATTCCTTTAGAGTGCAAGGGGGGGGCACAGACAAACTCCGCAACCTCGTCATCCCCAGGGTCGGGCCCGCGGCCAAGTTCAGGAGCAACATGGGAGCTTGTGATTTCGGCATAAGGATTGTGCCGACCAAACCGCATGTATGACCCATGACCAGGGGGGGGTACGCATCGTGAAACATGTTTCGCGCGCAACTCCGAAACGTCCAGACACACGAACTCCTCCGCCCCCCCACTGCCCCCCAAAATCCCCAGGTCCTTCGAGACCTCCCCCAAGGCCCAGGATCCCAGAGCAAGAGCGGCTGATTCAAGATCCCGACAAACCTGCTGGACCCAAGGCGACGAGCACTGCGTAGGACGACCCGCTATAATCTGTCTCCGAAAACGATCAGCCTCCATTTCACCGAATAAACAGCAGAGAACTTGGGCATGGTGGGGGGGGGGGGGGGGGGGGCCTGGCCCACGCCGGGCACATGCGGAGCCGCCTGATCTTCATCTCCACCGAGCAAGGGGCGATCTTCCAATGCAGAAGAATCTGCGCCGTGGACAAACTGCGGACATGATCGCCCTCTCCTGCATGAGACGCCCTCCCCGACAAGGCCCTCCGACCCCACGCAGCCGCCCCATGGTCGAGTCGCATATAATCACGATCATTGAGGACAAATGCTTCTAATCCACTGGAGATCGTATTCTGAGCGAACCCCATCAGGAGGAGGCGCGTGAACTTATATCGTAGCCTCAACCCTCAGATCCCCCACAGGCTGAAAAAGGACGCCCTGGACGCCTGGATCCTCCTCGTCACCTCCTGCGCCGCCAGGTGGCTCATGGTGAGATAGGGCCCCAGGTGCCGAGCTGCGTCTGGTGGAATCCCTCCCAGGTCATGCTTTCGGGCCCGAAGCGCTTGTTTACTCCACGCCCCATGGAGGCTGAAGTGAAAAAGAAACTCTTGCTTGTCCAAGTTTTGACCGTACCCGGATTGTTAAAGGCGGCTGTTAAGACTGTTGCCGACCCGAATCAGCTCATCGATGAAACGCGAGAAGGTGGAATCGAAACCGGACAAAACGATCTTGTTAAGGTCGTCCGCGTACTTCAAAAGCGAGAGGTCCGAACACAGGTCTCCCCACGTGGCCCGAAGGTCACGGGCAGAGCGGTCCCACTTGGTAATTTCCCATCCCCACGATGAAACTGGTCTCGAAAAAATCGGCAATAATATCGAAACGATATAGGGGTCCCCCATCGCCCCCCCCTGGAACGGCTTCACGACGACGTCGCCATCGCGCGAGGGGAGGACCACCACCGAGTTCTCGAAACGTTGCATACAGAGCTCGCGGTCGTGGGGGTTCACATGCAAAGCCATAGCGCCGGCCATCGCCTCAAACGTGCTGCTAGAGAAGGCGTTGGTGAGATCCTTGAAACAGAGGGGTTGTGCACGTCCAAACTCACGACGCCTCCAAGATGCATTAAGTGCTATAAGAGTGGCGTTCCCACGACGTCGCCCTGATACGAACCCGTGATCGGCCAAAGTCGGGGACGGAAGTCGCTTCGCGAAGTAACCCTTTCCCAGGACTGGTAAAAGATGGACCACCCGCTTTCCCCATGGACCTGGTCTAAGGTTTTTATGCAATGCAGCGGCCTGGCTCCCATGCCAATAAAGGGGCGTGACCTGGTGCTTCCTGATCTTGTGGAACCCTGCAATCATGAGGAACCAGAAGCTGGGGACGCGCGGGGCCACGGGGTCCGGCAGGTGGCCAGGCTCTGCGACGGGTGCGCCAGGATAGCCAAACCCCATTCGTGAACAGTCTACTCTCCGCTTCGGGAACAAGAGCATGTGGAAAAGCTCGAGTGGGCAGGTCCCCTGTGGCACAGCGCGGCGTTTGGGTGCAAGCAATACATGCTTACGGAACGTCTTCATATCCTCCTTCGCAAGTTCGGCCAACTCAGGGTCGTCATCATCCTCGTGCACCTCCGCATCCTCCCTCTCCTGCCTCCATATGTCCCAATTCAACTCCTGCACCGCCATGCCTCCCTCCATCCCAGGCTTACGCCAACTAGCTAACCATTCCGCCGAGGTGGGCAACGAACGACTTCCCGCCAGACGATGGCCCCGCTTCTTTGGCCCAAAGCGGCACCGAGCCGCTCGCATAGATAGCTGCATCGCCTCCGCCGTCCGCCGCTTATCCCAATGGCCGTTAGCCTCTGAGAGAAGGGCATCACGTTGGGCGCGCAAGTGTTTACGTCGGTCACGCTGGAGCACAAGGGACGGACGTTTCAGCTCATCATCTATATCCGAGATCTGATCATCATGTGCTAGAAGTTTACCTCCCCGAATTTGAACTCTTAAACCAAGGAGTTCACGACGTCAACGACATGCTTCGCTATATCCCTCACGTACCTCCTGCCTCCCCTCGAAGTGTTTCCGCCCCGCCGTAATGATGGTCTCCTCAATCTTGTCAAACATGGTATCGGGAGAAGACCAATCTAGTAGTTCACGAATAGATAACCGTTGAAATTCCTCATGTGCCGTACGAAGAAAATCACACCGGCCTTCCCCCACCCTCAAGCTCCTCATCATGCGGTCCACGTCCCACTTGACCCTCGTGCGCTCCTCCCTCTCCTGCCCTTCCCTGTTGTGTCGCACGAAAACGCCGACAGGCAGGTGATCACGTGGGGGGGGGGCCTTGATGGGTTGGAGCTTCACACCAAGCCACCGCATAGCATGGCATTCCTTTATAGAGTCCGAAAAACCACTAGGTAAACATATGTAGTCCAGTCGGCTGGCACCGCGGCCCCCGAAGTAAGTATTGTCCACCCGAAGCCGAGCATTAGCAACCACTAGGTGGTGTTGTTCGAAGGCCAGTCGGAAAAGATTGCCCGCGCAGTTCACAAACCTCTCCTGGGTAGGGGCCCCCGCCGCGGGAGACCCAACCTTTTGCCAGGAACCGTCACGCCACTCCTCCCCCATCCCGTCGATAATGTCCCCGAAGACCAGAGGCAAGCACCTTGCTGGCAGCTCCCCTAGAATTCCGTGCAGCCAATCAGTCAACAGCTTGACCGTCCTGAAGTAAGCCGACTTCTGCTTGCTCGACGGTTTGGGGGGATAGCACAAACAGATAGCACAATAGTCTAGAGAACCTCGCTTAACACGTACAGCATCTCCTCTACCTCCCGCCTCTTTCGGGCTCCCCCATACCCTCCGAATGTCCCCTGCCTTGATGATCGGGCCGAAGGCGACAGCGCAGCCGCAGCTGGGGTTGCAAAAGGGGGACACGGTGTGCGGAGCCTCGATCAGGAGGCGGCCCCCCACGCGACGCGTAAGAGCCTGGGCGCCCGCGAGTCGGGCCCCACAGCGGGTGCACGCGAGCAGAACGACATCGAAGTTCCGAGTTTCATCCAACACCTCCTCCACTCTCTCCGACGTGCAGCAGTGCATTGGATTGTATCCCAGGACACGAAGCATAGCCCGCCAGCCCGCCTCCCTTCACGCTGCAGCAGAAGAGAAGCAAGAGAAGCAATGCAACATGGCACCATTGCTGCTGAGCCCCTCCCCGCCCTACAGAGCCACGGGGGCTTGGAGGAGGAGGGGGAGGAGGACGAGGAGGAGGACGAGGACGAGGAGGAGGAGGAGGAGGAGGAGGAGGAGGAGAAGGAGGAGGAGGAGGAGGAGGAGGAGGAGGGGGGGGGGCGCAGGGGCGGGGGCGGGCCGCCCTGAGACAGGGCGAGAGGAACTGGGGGCGCGCAAACATGGATTAGCGATCCATGGATCTGGCGCGCGGTCGCCAAATCCATGGATCGGGGGAAGCGCCCTCCCCACAATGCGGCTGGTGCCGCCTCGCTCGGCGGACATCCGCGACGTCCCATGTAAACGGGGCCCGTCGAGGATCCACGCCCCTTTGATCCATGTTTGCGATCGCCTGAGAGGAAGGCGGGAGGCAGATGCCGCACCGCAGGCCCCAGTCCCCCGAGAGACATCCTCGGAGATCGACCCGTGTCCCAAAGCCGAGCGGTCACCCCGAATCCCCACCGTTCGGGGGGGCCCGAAGGTAGAGCGTTACCCAGGAAGAGTCCCAACAGCCCTCTGGGCTGGGTGACTTAAGGAGTTCGTTCTTCCAGCCCCCCACTTCCCCGTCGGGAAGGGGCTTACCCCTTCCCCTGCCCCTACCCCTGGGGGTGGAGCCCTTCTCACGCGAGGGGTTGCAGTGTCCAAGATAGCCGAGGAAGGCTCCAAGATGGCCTCAGATAGCCCAAGGTGGCCTCGCACAGCGAAGCCGCACGTGCCCGGGCGGGGCAGGCACCCATCGGTGGTGCACGGGCGTGTGGGGGGGGGGGGGCGATGGGCCCCCCTGATCCCACGCCGCCCCTGTCGTTGCCCCCCAGGAGCAGGAGGGGACGAGGACGGCAGCCCGTGATGGCGACGAGAAGCGGCCGGGACGGCACGGACGTCTTCGGCTGCTTCTGGGTCCACGAGCTGTGACATGTCCCGGGGAGGGAGCGCCTGCTGGGAGCAGCCCTGGAGTTATATATATATATATATATTATATATATATATATATATATATATATAATATATATATATATTATATATATATATATATATAAACAAAAAAAAAACGTGTGGAACCCTGGCCAGCCTCCAGGCACAGGCAGAGGCGGAACCAGCGTGGCGGGCATGCGCAGGAGGCACGGCCCTGGGCCCCCTTCCCGGGACACTGCCTGCTGACGAGTGCTAGGGCGAAGCGAAGACTGGGGGCCTCGGAACGATCGTGAACTGCACCCCTCAGACCCCCGACGTCATGACTTTGTCCAGGACGCGACCCCAGAAGTCAGGACCCTGTTCCCAGGCCCCGAGGCCTGGTAAGGACCCACAGCGGCAGAACATAGCGAAACCTCTCCCGTCGCGGCTTTTTCACGACTCGAGGGGGTCCAGGCTCTCCAAGGCACCTCCCCGTCGCGCAACTGCATTCTCGGCAGTGGTTGCACTGTATTGGCCACATGCCAGCTTGGCATCCTCCTCTCCAAGGCATTTGGACCGACGGGGCTTTGGCCCACATGTCTGTGAAGAAGTGAGCGCAGAAGTTGAAGAGAAGAAGAAGGTGAACGTTTTCTCATTCGGCGTTCCGACATTGGGCGGAAGGGGATGGGAGGGGGGGGGTCTGGCTCTGGACCTCTGCTCAATGCGACTGTTTGCAACAGTGCGTCCCATGGGGGAGACTCCACCTGCTCGAAACGGGCGCCCAAACCAGCCAGGATCTACCCCATGGGGGGGGGAAGGAGGAGGGGTGCGAGAGCCCGCGCCGATCGGCAAAACAACGAATGAACGAACGATCACAAGGGGGGATGAGGGGGAGTGGGTGGAAAGGGAGGGCACGTGAAATAATGGGAGCCAGTCTGAAATGCGACCGCCCACACTTACAAACTCCACCGTTGTTTGAAGACTGGCGTGACCACCGTGCCGCGCCAAATCAGCTCCCCACATCCCTTTCACCCAGGCGACCTCTATGCGTGTCCTGTTGCTGACCTTGACATCATGCCGAATGCGGTATCCAACGAACTCGCCCAGGGGCTCTCCGGACAGGAACGCCATCCGCCTGGCAACGCTCACGCAGGTGATTCTGCGCGGTTGCAGCACCAGGACCTGTGATGATGCCACAAAACTCTTAGATGTATCGAGCTTGTGTTCCAGAAGCCTCGACTGTCCACAACTCTTCCATGACGTAGACAGTCAACATTGTGAAATCTATAGGGGGCCGAACGCTGTTAACCTGTAGGACCACCCTTCGAACAAGAAGGAGGTTGGGGAGATGAGCTCAGCGTTCGGTTTGCGATTGACATCTGGTTTTGCAACCTGCATACCTGATCTCGAACGGCCTCGCACTACAATCTCAAGAACTAACGATCTACCGAGAAATCTTCACAGATCTATTGACACACCTCCATATCACTGCTTCGGCATCGCTGTCGATCCGTCTCATAATGAACCGATCGGCAACCACGGGAGCACAATGGGGCAACTGCGAGAAAACCACGGGACAGCCACAGGACAATCACGGAACAATCTCAGGACAGCCACAGGACAACCTCGGGACAACCACAGAGCAACCGCGGGACAGACGTGGAACTGCCACGGAACAACCGCAGGACAACCGTTGGGACAAGCGCGTGAGAACCACAGAACGACCATGGGGACAACGGCGGGGCAGTCACGGAACAACCATCGGGACAACCCTCGGCACAACCAGAGGGACAACCAAAGCAGAGGTCACAAAATCAACCCCCCTCAAGAACCACCTTCGACACGAGAGGCCGTTTAGCAAACGCGCCCAAAGGAGGAATCAAACAGGGCAAGGCCGTTTCGGAAACGCCCCAGGCCGCTTAGGATGAAGGGGCCCTGGGACACACAAATAAATACACACAAATAAAAAGATTCCCCATATTTTCCAATATTTTCTTGGGTTTTTGTCTTCCCCATCACTTCCCATATTTTCCCATATTTTCTGGGAAATCGACGATTAATTGTGTCTGTGTGTTTCTTCCCCTCCTGAAGGAAACGCCAACTGTCCGGTCCGGGTGGCTTCTTGTCCCCCCTCGACAAGAGAGAGGACAGCCACGGGACGGCCCTCGGGACAGCCGCGGAGCAGCGTCAGAGCAGCCACGGGGACCGCCGCGGGCGAGACTGCAGCTCCGGCTCGGCGCCGCCTCGGCGCCTCTTGGGCTGTCTTGGGCCGTCTTGGGCCGCTCCTGGGGCCGTCTTGGGTACCTCTTGGGCCGTCTTGGGCGCCTCCTGGGCCGTCCTGGGGCCGTCCTGGGGCGTCTTGGGACCGTCTTGGGGCCCTCCTGGCCCGTCTTGGGGCTCTCTTGGGGCCCTCTTCGGCCGTCTTGGAGCGGTCGGGGGGACTTCTTGGGCCGTCTTGGAGCGTCGGGAAGCCGAAGAGGCGAGGAGGCCGAAAACATCGAAAAACACAATAGAAATCGGCGGTCGCCCGTCTCAGTGGGCGCCTCTGAGCCGCCCCGTGCGCGGGCGGGCGGTGGCCGGAGACCTTCGCCCTGCGAGGTGCCCGCCCGTGGGCGCCTCGTGGCCGCCTCGGCGGCGCCGGTCGGCGGTGCCGGACTTGCGGCCGGTGCCCGCCCCAGGGGTTTGCCTTTTCAGAAGTTGGGCGCCCGAGTTATCCGGGGTAACTCGGGTCCGGGGTAACTCGGGTTTGGATTCCCGAAAAAAGGAACCCGAGTTAGCCCTGACCCGAGTTACCCCTGATGATGTGGGGCTCTGGACGCCCGAGTTATCCGGGGTAGCTCGGGTCCGGGGTAACTCGGGCTGGGATTCCCGAAAAACGAACCCGAGTTATCCCTGACCCGAGTTACCCCTGATGATTCGGGGATCTGAGGGTTTGCCTTTTCAGAAGCGCAGTCCCACCAGGCTTTTGAGCTAGGGTGGTCTAGCGAGTTCCTAATTGCCTCTGCCAAAGCCTTCGGGGAGGGGCGCACCCTCCCTCCCTACCCCGAGGCTTCTTGAGGCGGGCCGCGACGGGTCCGGGCGCCCAAGATGGCCCAAGGTGGCTCCAAGATGGCATCCGATGCTCCAAAATGGCTCAAGATAGCCGAAGATGTTTCAATATAGCTCCCGACATATCTCCAAGAGGCCCAAGAGGACCACACGACGGCTCCAAGTGCTCTCGGTGCCTCCCAAGGACCCCACCAAGAGGCCAAACTCCTTCAAAAACCTTAGACAAATCAGTGACTTGTGCCTTCTTACCCGTTCGCGTCCGATGGGCTTCTGAGCCCCCACGACTGCCCCGAGATGGCCCAAGAGAACCCCGAGAGGGGCCCAAGAGGCCCCGCCCAGGCGGCCTCAAGAGTCAAGAGCGCCCAAGAGCGGCCGAAGAGGCGATATCGAGGTTTCTTGGGGGGGAGGGGGGAGGGGGGGAAATCGAGGACCCCCCTACTTTTGATCGATAGCATCCAAGGTGGCCCCTGGAGGCCCTCCAGGACTCCCAAGGGACCCCGAAGGAGGCTCCAAGAGTGCCCTAAGAGGGCCCCAAGACTCCCCACAAGAGCCCCAAGAGGACCCCAAGATCCATTAAAAGGGCTCCAAAAGGGCTCCAAGAGGCGAACTTGAGGGATCTGTCCTCGTCCTCGTTGTCCTCCTTCTCCTCCTCCTCGTCCTCGTCCTCGTCCTTGCCCTCATCGTCTTCATTGTCCTCTTGCTTTTCCGCCTTGTCCTCGTCGTTGTGGTCGTCATCGTCGTCTTCGTCGTCGTCGTCGTAATCGTCGTCGTCGTCGTTTTTGTCCTCCTCCTCCTCCTCCTCCTCCTCCTCCTCTTACTCCTCCTTCCCTCGCCCCCACGCGGGCCCCAGGGATAGCCCGAAGATGCCCTCCAATGCCAACCCCTTGCTCCCAGAGATCTCTGTGCTCACCCTGGTTGCCCGCTCTGTTTCACTACATGTGTCTGTTCGACCCTTTCCCCGCCAACTCTCATGGGAAGGGTTTCTGAATTGGCTGGTGGGGATACTCGAAGCGTGAAAAGTTAGAGTCCACCGCCCACACACACCCAGGGTTAACAGCACCTCCTGGGACACTGCAAGTTACAGATGGTTCTGCCGCATCTTTTTTTTTTCATCACGTGAATTCATGTTATTCCAACCGACCGGCGATCGCCCCCCTCACACCTGTCAAATGATACCATGCGTGCAAATGCGTTTATCTCAGAACACCATGTTTCAAGACACACCTGCTAAATCACGCACGCACACACGCACACACACACAATGTTCACACACACGCGCGCACATGCCAACATCCTACCAAACGAATCAGTTGTGCAAGCATCCCACCCACCCCCCTCAAAAACCAAAACAAAAACATGCGTTTCATCAGACTGGCTGCAGATTCTCTGCCCGCCCGCACTTCCAAAACCCATCTGAGAACCATACGATCTCATCCACATCGTCCAAGCCCCTTCCTCGTCATCTCACAATGCGGTGCATCCGTGTTGATGTTGATGCGCCCGGCGCGCGAATCCGCATCAAACAATACGATGCGGGTTACACGCGCGCGCGCGCCGCCACGCGCTTGCCAAACATACAATTGAAAGCCAAGGGTTGTTCGCAATATATATGGGTGGAGCTCTTCAAACGCATGTGGAAACCAAGCGTTTGTCGACAGAAGTCTTGCAAGTTTCTTAAGGCTCTAGGCGAGCACACTTCCCCTCCATCATTCTCATCAGTGCCATCGTGTCGCCGCCATCATCGGCATCGCCGGTCGCCACGACTGCTGCCATCATCCTTTAACAACCTTCATCACCGACACATGGACAACATCCCCGTCATCGCCGTCACCACCATTGGCACCGTCATTGGCCTTGCCACCGTTATCGCCATCATCGCTTCCACCATCCCTACTCTTATCATCGGTGCTGCCGTTGCCGGCGTCATCACGATATCGCGCCCACCCGAGTCACCGACCCGCACTGAAGTGCCCGCGCGCCAGCGCGGCCTTTGAGACCCGCTGGGGAGTTCCCATCGGTCCCACCTCCTGGTCACCCCTGTCAAAGATTACAATTTGGGGCACACGCGTTCATCATCTAACCATCTATACGATAATATGTGCGCCCTTGTAGAAATCCAGAGGAACCCTTTGGTCCCTTGTCAATCTGATCGATGAGACCATGCGAGCCATACTATGCAGGTCACACGCGCGCGCTTCCGCGCAAGCATGTCGAAATGGCTGCAAACGCGTTACTTGCCCAAGCAGCTCAACGTAGATGCGTTCAGGCAACATGAAAACACAATGAACTTCGATAAGAACGTTGTGAGAAAACCTGCGCGCGTGGCCTTGCCCTTCATCCTCATTAGCGCCATCGTCATCATCATCTTCATCACCAGCATCATCATCGTCATCATCATCATCGTCATCATCATATTCACCATGATCCACAGCATCAGTATCAACATCATCATCATCATCATCGTCACCACCATCATCATCAGTAGCAGCAGCATCATCAATTTCATCATCATCAGCAGCAGCGCCATCGCAATCATCATCAACATCGTGATCGCCACCATCGCTAACGTCATCATCGCCAACGGCCACTATCGTTAATCACCATCGTACTCATCATCATCATCATCATCATCATCATCATCATCATCATCATCATCATCATCATCATCATCACCACCATCGTGATCGTCATCATCGCCACCGCCATCATTTTCGCCGTCACCATCATCACCATCATCATCACCATCGTGATCGTCATCGTCAGCGTCGTTGTCGCCACCCTCTTCACCAGCGCTACCACCATCATCATCGCCATCGTCATCATAGCCACTTTCACCGAACTCGTCCTCACAGTCATCAATCTCCCGGCCGAGCCATGGATCTGCATGAGAGGGGGCCATCGCGTCATTGCGCGAGTTGCTTGTTGCCACCAATTGCGGGTGGGTGGGATGTTTGCTCGAGCACGGGAGTTGGAGGCTTCAATGTTAATAATTAGTTACACCACACAGAGCGCCCCACATGGATTGCATCGCAGAGAATGCGCCATATAGGTTGCAAAGCATAGGCTGCACTCTACACAAGTTGCACCGCAAAGATTGCACGTCGAGTGCGCGCAGATCTGACACAACACTGGCAAACGTTGTTGGTTGAATCAGATTAATTGACCCATCAATTCAATGTCAGTTCGAGCGTGTATAAGAATACCCAATGCCAGTCCCCCTGCAGCCTGACACCTGTGAATTCTTCAAATCTGGAAAGGGGTAGCCGAGGCTGTTGCTTCGACACGGGCCTTGCGTCGTGGGGCCACTGGGCCTTTCCAATCAGTGGACAAAGCTCCGCAGGGAAGCTCGACTGCGGTGCTAATGAGGCCGTTCGAGTGTTCACTCCTTTGCATGTCGGCACACCGCTGGACCTCTGACGTATCGTCAATGCGAGGTTTCCTGACCTCTCGACTCCTCCCCATGGACCGCTTGCCCATCCTGGGCCGCGCTCTTTCCCCCAGGCCCGAAACAGGCCTCTGGAGGCTATCGATGCACAAGCTTTGGCATCAAGCAAACTACACCAGAGATCGCCACTTTCGAGGCCTCCAGGGTGGTCCAGCACAGTGACGTCCTACGCAGACCAAGGCGGGACCTAGCCATCCCTGGGGGGCTGCGATCTGTGAAACTGTCGCCACTTTCGAGGCCTGCTGGGGGGTCCAGCACAGTGTCGTCCTACGCAGACCTAGACTGGACCTAGCCATCCCTGGGGAGCTGCGATCTGTGAAACTGTCGCCACTTTCGAGGCCTGCTGGGGGTCCAGCACAGTGGCGTCCTACGCAGACCCAAACGGGACCTCGCCATCCCTGGGGGGCTGCAATCTGTGAAACTATCGCCACTGTCGAGGCCTGCTGGGGGGTCCAGCACAGTGGCGTCCTACGCAGATCCAGACGGGACCTAGCCATCCCTGTGGGGCTGCGATCTGTGAAAGTGTCGCCACTTTCGAGGCCTGCTCGGGGGTCCAGCACAGTGACGTCCTACGCAGACCCAAACGGGACCTCGCCATCCCTGGTGGGCTGCGATCTGTGAAACTGTCGCCACTTTCGAGGCCTGCTCGGGGGTCCAGCACAGTGACGTCCTACGCAGACCCAGACGGGACCTCGCCATCCCTGGGGGGCTGCGATCTGTGAAACTGTCGCCACTTTCGAGGCCTGCTGGGGGGTCCAGCACAGTGACGTCCTACGCAGACCCAGACGGGACCTAGCCATCCCTGTGGGGCTGCGATCTGTGAAAGTGTCGCCACTTTCGAGGCCTGCTGGGGGGGGGGCAGCATAGTGACGTCCTACGCAGACTCGAATTAGACCTCGCCATCCCTGGGGGGCTGCGATCTGCGAAATTGTCGCCACTTTCGAGGCCTGCTGGGGGGTCCAGCATAGTGACGTGCTACGCAGATTCAAATGGGACCTCGCCATCCCTGGGGGGCTGCGATCTGTGAAACTGTCGCAATTTTCGAAGCCTGCTAGGGGGGCCAGCATAGTGGGGCCCCGCGGCGGACTCAAAAAGGACTTCCCAAATGCTGGTCGCAGAAATACATACGTCCATGTCTCGTCATCACTCCCTTCTAAAGTCGCGCAAGCTACTGATGCCCCGCATTGCGCAGGGGTTGGGTACGTCGCCAGGGTAATTGTTCAACTACTTTTGAATTAGAGGGACAGGCCCGACTCAACGCTGCTCCCGGGACCTCACCAGAAAACTTCGAGGCGAGTCCGGCCGTGGCGGCGAGGGCCTCCCAGGAGGCTCAATGAGGGCGCAAACGAGGGCAAGGGCAGCGGCAGCGGTACCTGTCCCCCCTCGAGGCGTCCTTCCTCCCAGACCCCCTCGAGCCATGAAAAAATCACGACGCGAGGGTTTTCTGTATTTTCGGCCTCTGGGGGCCCTGACCGGCCCTCGGGAGCGTCAAAAAACGATTCAGGATGAAAAGCCGGTCCTGGCGAACAGGTCCGGACCTCAAGGGGTCGCGTAATGAAAAAATCATGACGTCGGGGGTCCGGGCTGCGGCCCGCCCGGGGGGCAGCACACCCGCCCGCGGACCCGCCCGCACGGCCTCGAGGAGAGATCCTGGTGCCTCAGGCCGACGTGCGCTTCGTGCCCTGCGCCCCCCACAGTCGCCGACGGTATGAGACCGGCGCCCATGCCCCGCGCCCCTGTCTGGACACCTGGCCGGCCCCGCTCCAGCGCGGTACAGCCGACTCGTATCATAAGGACGCACGACCAGCATGCAAAAGGGCCTTGTAGGGCCGTTCCGACACTCGAGCGGGGCGCGGCCAGCGAACGCGGCCAGGGATGGACCGAGGAGGCAAGGATGAAAGGGTAGGCATTTGGTCGGGCATGTCCTCCTACAGGCGAATTTTGGACGAAACAAAAATGCGATTTCTTGTGAACCAAAAAAACACCCAATAATCACGAATTCATATGCAAACCATCCCCAGACTATTTTTGAATCTTTCTCCTGTAGAGCGACACGCCCGACTCAACCCTAGCAGGGCAGCGCGGACGCCATCTGACCTCCCTCCGCAACGGCGGGGGGGGGGTGCACGACCACGGCGCCCTGTACGATGGCAGACGGGCCTGCTCGAGCAGAAGCGCCTGGCCAGAGCTGGACTTGCCCAGCCCCTGAGCTGGCATTCGCCAAAATGCCCTCCACCGCGAATCCGTACTGGTCGATGCTCTTCATCACTTCGCACGCAGCACAACCACCTGCACAACAGCTCACCGGGACCACACGCCATGCGGACTGACACAGGAGAAGCGAGTCTTGCGATTCCAGTCGCCCGCTCCAGACCTTGCCCTGGACGGTGCCAGTATCCAGCACTGCGAGCGGCACGATGGTCGTCTTGCCTGCAGGCCGTTTGTTAACTCACGCGTCCCCTCTCGAAGGGTTGCCTGCGCTGGCACGGCCGGGGACCCCGCATCGCCGGCCCCGAAGGAGCCCCGGCTGCTCTCGACAGGCCCCCGGCGTGGAGCGCTTGCAAGACCACGGCGCTGGAGCGCGGAGCGGCCCAGGGGTGCCTCTGGAGGTGATGCCCGTGTGTCGAATCCACCCCAGGCTGCTCACAGATAGCATGTGACAGAACGTAGCCAAATGGGTCTGCATTCGCCAAGTCGCTGCTTCTGGGTGCTGGGGAGAGCGCGATCCGCAGAACAACCCTCCCCCCTTTGTTACATTGCACGCTGTTGGCTATCCGCACGGCTTCCTATGACTTGTCTAATGGGCCCCCTTGGTATTCCAATAGGTTCCCATCGGTCTTCCACTGGAGTCCTATGCATATCCACAAGGGTTCCCACGGGCTTCCCAACAGTGGACCCCCTTGGTGTTCAAACGCATTCCTGTGGACATTCGAAGAGACGCTCTTTCCAATGGAGTTTATGGGCATTCTACTGGTGTCCAATCGACATTCCCGTGGACTCCAGTGCGTATTCCAGTGGATTCGTATGGGAATGCCCAGGTCCTGTCCACCAAGAGCGGCCGCGTCCACCATAAGCGGCCGCCCTTGGCGGAGGAGAACGACAACGACTGCCAGAGGAGTGCACGGGCCTCCTCCTCCTCCTCCTCCCCCTACCTCCTCCTCCTTCTCCTCCTCTCTCCTCCTCCCCCCCCTCCTCCTCCTCCTACCCCCCTCCTCCCCCTCCTCCTCCCCCTCCTACTCCTCCTCCTCCTCCTCTCCTCCTCCTCCTCCTCCTCCTCTTCCTCCTCCTCCTCCTCCTCCTCCTCCTCCTCCTCCTCCTCCTCCTCCTCCTCCTCCCCTTGGCATCATCTGGCAGGATCTGGAGGCCCGAAGGGGTGGATGGGAATGGGAGTGGGCTGGGAGGGGCAACAGGCGAAGGCAACACTCTTAAACGATTAGGCTTTGAACCCCCGAGCCCCCGGTTGGGGATGGCCATCACCATCAAAATGCCTCGGTCTACGTATCCGCACTCTCAGCTCCAAACGCATCCTTCCGCCTTCCCTTCTGCGCCATCCCTGGGAGACGCTCTGGTCAGGACTTCGTGGATGCCGGAGGTGATCGGACGCCCTCGGAAAATCAGAAAGGCCAAACAGTACATCAACAAAGGGCCCTGCCTGAAGGATTAAGGAGCAACGCCAGCCAGAAAAGCTTGTCTGACCTTCTCTCCAAGTCCCCCGTCTGTACACGTGTTAAAATGCGGCGCCGGATGTCCTGCGCCAGTGGGCGCCTGAAGGATCGTGGCCGGATTCCCCCGAATGCTCGCCATGACGTTCGGGATGATCTCCTTGCCGGGAGGAGGCCCTCGAAAGCTGCTATTGCGTGACATCGCCGACTGTGGAGGCGCCCAGAAGGTCTCTGACGACAGCTCCTCAGACTTCCAGCGGATTGTTTTTCAATCCGTGGGCCCCAGAGCTGTCAACCCTTCGGACGCAACTACTGGGAGGTCTTCGTCGGAAGGAGAACCATTGGGGGGGCTGTTACGTCGGAGCGGGCCTCGGATTAAGCGGGATTCCACCCGATTAAGCGGGATCCAGCCGGATCAAGCCGGATTGAGCGGGATGAAGCCGGATGACGCTGGATCTCGGACCAGGGCAACATCAGAACTCGACCTCCCAGGAGTTACATCCGACTCAGTCCCTGCCCCAGGGAAAGTGCTCGCCCCGGGATGAGGGGCAACGATCGGGGGGGGGGGGGGGGGCGCATCGACCTGGACTCGGCGATGCATCGCCGCTAGGCCGGCGGCGGGCCCCCGATCGCGCATCCGCACCGTCCTGGGCAGGCTGGGGCTGTCGGGGCCCCATCGGCGATCAAGGGGCGATTGGGGGGCCGATGCGTCCCCCCCGAATGCCCGTCCCCCCCCGGTCCCAGACCCCCGACATCGTGATGTGCTCATGACGCCCCCCCCGGAGCTCCGGACCCATTCGCCGGGACCGGCTTCTCCTCCCGAGTCGCTTTTGGACGGTCCCGAGGGCCGGTCAGGGCCCCCAGGGGCCGAAAAGAGGGCAAAACCTCCCGTCGTGATTTCTCCATGACGCGAGGAGGTCCTGGGATCGCCGCCCCTCGCAGGGCGCCGGCCGAGGACCCCAGCGGGTCCAGGCAGCGGCCCCCGAGGGGCGACGAGGCCACGGCCGCGAGCGGCAGAAGGGGGCCTCCCGCCCTCGGGGCCGCGTGCGCGCGGCCCTGGGCCGGGGCTGCGGGCGGCCCGAGGGTCAGCTCGGGCATGTGCCCCTACAGGCAGATCTCGGAGGAGAAAGGCAGGTTCACAAAAGCAAAAAAAGTAGCCAAAGGTTGTGGCCACAATCGCCCCCCTGTCTATTCTTGAAGACCACCGTACACGTATGGACGAGGTTGCTCCAATCGCACTGAAAGACCACATCCCATCAATAATTTCGAGCACCCAGAAGGGTATCGAAACAGTGTCGAGCGACTATCGCCTCCCAGGGCACGACACGCGAAAACCCTCCAGTTTGAACATTTTTCTGGTGCTCGAAATGCTTTCTGGCGATCAGGCTAACGTAGGCTGGGACATCATAACCCTGCAGGCAAAGTTTGGAGGAAAGATAGAAAATACTCAAAACAAATTTGTTAAACTAAAAAATCATCACTCCTGTAGAGGGATGTGCCCAGCTTAACCCTGGGGTCCCGAGGCGGCCCCATGAGACCGAAAACCGGTGGAAATCTCTGTCGCAAGTGGTCCGAGCTTGAGGCGGAACGATCGTGGTGGTGAGGGCGGTCCCATAGGGCTTGACGACTCTTCGCCAATCAACTTGTGGGGAGCAAGCCGGATAAACCGAGGTAAATGCAGATAAAGCGAGGTGAGTCAAAACAAATCCTGGCAAATCCCAGTAAACCCAGAGATCTCTGGGGGAAATTTGGAGCAAGTCGTGGCCGCTCGAGCGCGAGTCGAGGGACGGCAGAAGTCGTCAAACCCTGGTAGGCCCCCGAAAGCGACGCCCTGCGGTCCTGGGCGGGGTGGGGGCTATCAGGCCACTGGGCCCCCCTGAGCTCACTCCCCCCCGAAACCGAGCAGCCGACGCCGCGTTTGTTTCACACCGTGGCTCCCTGGAGGTCCAGACCCCGTCCCTGGCACCAGCTCTTCTCATGGGTCGTCCTTCGACGGCCCCAGGGGCCCGGTGAGGGCCCTCGGGGGTCAAACATTAGGCAAAACCTTCCGCCGCGTCTTTCTCATAACGAAAGGATGCCAAGGGTCATGAGAGGACTCCCAGATGGAGTCGGAGTAGCTGGGGTCGAAGGATCGCGCCGCATCGCCGATGCATCACCGATGTATCGGCGACGCATCGGCGACGTCGGCGACGCATCTGCGACGCCGGCGTGGAGAAAGCCGGGCTCCACATCGAGCCGCATCGCCGATGCGTCGGCGATGCGGCGCGATCCTCCGACCCCCTCCGCTCGGACCCCTTTTGGGGAGGCTTGGCATCACTAGTAGACCACATGTCAGCGTTTTTTCCTTCGGCGATTCGACATTGGGCGGCAAGGGGGGGGAGGGGGGGTCTGGCTCCGGACCTCTATTTAGTGCGACTGTTTGCAAGAGTGCGGCCTCTGGGGAAGACTCTACCCGCCAGAAACAAGCGCCAGAAAAACAGCCAAGATCTACTCTATAGGGGGGGAGGGGGGGGGGGGTGGGGGCCAGCCCCGATCGGCAAAACTATAAGTAAAACAACGATCACCATGCGAACCCTGCCCCTACCCCCCGCGATTTCTGAGGGGGGGGGGTGGGGCTCCCTTGGCGCGCCCTGATCGCTCCCCCGCGCGCCGCCAGGAGCCCGAGTCTGTGCGAGGCAGGAGGCAGGAGGCGAGCGGGCGAGGGAGCCGCGCACCCCTGGACCAGCGGCCCGGGCCCTGCGAGAGGGGGGGCGCGCTGCGGAGCCGGAGCCCAGGAGCCCGGAGGAGGAGGAAGGCACGGGGCCGCGGCGCGGACGCGCCGGTGTGGAGCGGAGAAGGCCGAAAAGCGACGGCTCGAGGCCACACCCCCGCGGCCGCCGCCCTCGGCCGTCCAACGGACGAAACGACCTCCGAGTCGGAGGGCGCAGCCACGGCCTCCGAGTCGCAGGGGGGCGGGACGGGCGACCGCGGCGGCGGGGGCTTACGCGGCGCCCGCCCGCAGGCGCAGCACGGCGGCCCCGCCACACACACGCAAACACACAGACACACACAGACACACAGACACACACACACAGACACACACACACACACACGGGACTCCGCATCCGAAGACAGTTCTAAGAACTGGCCGCGGTCCCTGCACACGAAGTAGGACGCGCCAGAGGCCAGCGGCCGTCCGAGCGCGGGCCGACGGCCTCGTCCGCAAAGTACGGCGGCCGCGCGGACGCGCTGGTGGGGGGGGAGGAGTGGGAAGGATCGGGAGCGGGAAGGAGGGGGAGGGAGGAGAAGGGAGGAGCCGAAGCGCCCTTCCCCGCCCATCATCCGCGTCCTCCGTGCATCCGTATGTCCGTGGCGGGTCTGGACGTCGAGAGCTTCTGCGGTCAGGTCCAGGGGCCAAAACTGGTTGCATCAACTCGTCGTCTCGATTTCCCTCCCTTCCTCCTCCACCTCGAGCTCCAACTGAATCTTGCTCCCGGTATCCTCTCACAGCTTGGTGCCTAGTCTGAGTGACGTGCAGTGTGGCGCAGGGGATGAGGAGTTGGACGAGGCTTGCACGATGTATGGCACTCTTCGTGATGAATAGATTTGTGATTGTAAGTCCAGCTATGAGTGAACGCATTTGGGTTGATGATACTTAGATGAAAATGGTGCCGGAGCGCCAAGTCGTAATGAAACTCGTGTCTGCTAGTGCGTCCGCACGCCAATTATTTGAATAGAACGAGAGATAGAGTAGAGAGAGAGAGAGAGAACACAAAAACAACTAAGTAAAGAAAGAGACAGAGAGAGAGAGAGCTGGTGCTGGCTACCAATAATGTGGTCCTTTGCTCGACTCATCGAGTTGCACGGCCAATATCCAAGCAGCTTGCCGCAGCAGGTGTGCACGTGCAGCCAGTCCTCTGGACCTCCTATCTCGGCGTCGGTCTTGGGATGGGGAAGCGCCGCTTCGCAAAGGCCACGAGACGGCAGAGGGTGATCAAGGGGACAACTTAACATGCCAAACTGCGAGGGTATGCGAGGGCGTCCGAGCGATGTTAGAATGTCACGGGGCTGGTAGAGCTTACTGGGCCCCAGGCGGGCTCGACGTAAAGCATTGCCTACGCGTGTTCTGGGACTCAGCTCCAGGCCCGTTGGAGGAGGTTTGGGGCTGTCTCAGGGGCGGCCAAGAGGAGAAGGAGGTGTAAGTCCACTCCTCCGGACCTTCGTACCCCAGGGTGCGACTCTGGCGTCAGTCTGCCCGTCTCTTTCCCTAAGGAGTGGCCTCGCACCTGGATCCACGAGCCTCGTCTCAGGCGGGGGAACCGACGAGCGTAGCCCATATTTTGGGAGCAGTCTCGCAACCGCGATGTCACGCAATATGCTAGGCACGGTCGCGGGCCGCTGTCGGCTATCTTTGCTCACCTCTTGCGCGTGCGCTGGATGTCGAATGAACCTGACGCGTGACACGTGCCTTTTTACGAATGATAGGGTGAATCTTGACTACCAGTGTTCCGAAGACAGTCTTGTGGGTATGGACAAAGCCAGTGGTCGCATAGCCGACTCTGCTGGTCTGAAGTCTGAATACCCAGCTTCAGCGGCAGGAAGCTAGCAAGCACTTTTGCGGCGACGGGCTCGAGGAAGATCCCCATAATTCCTCTCCCAGGTGTTGGTTTCTTTCACACTGACCACAAATCCGAGATGGATGCTCTCGACCGCACGGTATACTGCCTCTCTCAGGTCCCAATAGGAGGGGGAATAGGAAGGGGGGAGGCATCGAGCAGAGGTTTTCTTCAGCATCGCCGCCACGGGTGGCTCCTAACCGCTGTCTGGGCGCAAGAAGGAGCTGGGACTGGTTCGGTATGCCCTGGCGTCCTCGCTGCCGACAGGGCGGGGAGACCCCCTCACATCGGTTTTGGCTCTGCACCGCTGACTCTGGGAAGACTGTGCATCAGGATGCCGATTGCTTGGTGCCCCAGGCAGTGGCTGAGGGGAAGCAGACTCCGTGCTTCTGGCACCGTGGCACCATACCCTCATCCTGGACGAAAGTTGATCCACCAGCTCAGGTCGAGGCTTGGAGCCTCGCCGAAGGGCCCATGGCGCCTGGCGTCCTGGGGGCGGGCGCCTGGGCGGCCCCCCCTTGTGGGCCTTTGGGGGCGCCCCGGGGGGGGGCCGACTCCAGGATCG